CACCCATAGGAGGGTTCAGCTGGCCCCCATACAATAATGTATAGTAGTGCAGCGAACTGAACGCCACATTAAACATAGTACACAATTTATTTATTCGACAATTTATTAAGAGTACGGAAACTATTTCTTTGACCCCTGGACCTAGTCCTTTGCCTAGCTACGTGTAATGAATTTAATGAATTGCAACCAAATTAATGAGTTATGAAATTACAAAAAAGGATACAAATCGTGACTTTCAACTGTCTAGTGCAATAGTTTGCAAACATTTACTTACAAACAAATTAAATTTCTTCCACATTTACATTATACTCGTGACGTTGACTTCCGCTTTTTAACAAACTTTAAAACTCCAAGACAACCTTAATATTATGAAAAATCTATTTTTTAAGGTTTAAAGTCTATTCGCTTTTTAGTTCAATAATAACTTTAAAAAAGAAAAGAATAAGGTTAGCATTGGTATTTTACGACACTACGTCATCAACTATATATATATAAATATCTTTAAATTTCATGATAACGAAGGATTTTTAACAAAGGAATTTTAAATATCTACAATTATACAAAAATAGATCTTAAAGTCTTGTCGTCTATTTAAAGATTTGATCTGGTATGGAAGTTTAGTAGCATGTTTGCATAAATAACCAAGGCGACAGAAAAGGGCGGAGTATTTACCATAATGTTTGATACAAAAACTTGATTCGTTTTTTAAGGTTGGGTCAAATAAGAAATGTGCGTATTTGAGACTTGTAATACAGAAATCAGAAAAAAAAACCAAATGTCTTAGAGTTGATTTTCTTCAACATGTTCAACCTGGCAACTCTTATGACAATTACGTGACTGTGAAATAAAATGCAGCCTTAAAAGCAGACAGAAAATACCTAATAACAAAAATGTCAACAGATTGTATTATTATTGGATGAAACTACTTCTAAATTAGCTTTGGCAAGAAATGTTAAAAAAAATACCACTGATAAAAAGATGATGTGTTTCGTTGTGGATTTGATGTTTTGTAGGGGAATACAGGGTAATGAAAAATAAAACGAATTTATGCTAACAATATGAAAAAGTATACAATTAAGTAAACAACAAATCAACCTCAACAAGAATGCACGGTGATATACATTATAATTTTCGAAATAAAGGGAAATAACTCGCCGTTGACAAAACTGCGGAACGAGTTTAGAATGGGATACAGAAAATAGATACAAGGACCTCTATCAGGGGTGAATCCAGGATGTTTTAAAGGCAAACGGGAGGGGGGAGGGGGCGCGTATGCCCCCCCCCCAACCCCTTTACTCCTTGAATCCGCCAATGTCTATTCCTATCTAAAAACAATCTCAAATAAATCAATCTTACAAAATTCTCAAATTTACTCTATGAAAAATACAAACCATATACCACATCATAAGACAACCTGTTCCTTAGGATCAGAATAGTTTTGTTTATATAAGTTCTTAAAAATAGTGTCGATTTACATGTGTATTGTGTTAATATGTGTTTTGCATTATTGTTATTTCCTCTAGATCTCACGTAGTTTCAATGATTATCTCTTCAACCTAGTTATTATGCTTTTTCTTCGTTTATATAAGTGTAAAAAAAGGAAATGTGGTATGATTGCCAATGAGACAACTATCCACCAAAGTTCAAATGAAGTGGATGTAAGCAATTATAGGCAACCGTACGGCCTTCAACAATGAGCTAAACCCATACCATAAAGTCGGCTATAAAATTAAGACATGGTCTGATAAACTGTTCAATGACATGCTGTCTGCCATGATATTTATTTTGGTCCATAAAGGTCGTTTTTTTCTCTTTTAAATTCTTTCTCATTCTGTCATACTTGGGTCTTTTGTACAAATGTAGATCACTATACAGTATCAATTTTGTTCATTTTATGGGGCGTATATATTGTAACCTGTATTTGTTTACGTCTTTGTCATTTTGGTCTTTATAGATAGTTTGTCTTATTGAATATCGTACCACTGTTTTCGCCTTATTTACTTATAAATGGAAACCTATTTTGGATAAGGCTATAATTATGCTCACCTATAAATGTCTTTTTGTTTTTAATGGGGTTTTTTGGGGGTTTTTTTTTGTTTTTTTTTTTCTTTTGGGTTGCTGTCTTACTAATGTATACCCTACATATCATGGTCTTTTGAAATTTAACAAACATGGATTTGCTTCAAAAACATGCTTGCGAGATCACATATCTATTGTGAGAAAGGAACATTTTTACAAGCCAAAAGATTTTAACCTCACTTCTTTAGAAATTATATGCGCAATTTTTCCGTACGCTCACGAAATTTCTCAAAACTAGATCTTATTCCGTAAAATTTGGTGGATGTTTCAGATAAAAACAAATATAAGTTCAACGTTAACGAATCACTTTCCAAGATGTTCTGGATCTATTTTATAGATTTTCAAACGAATCACCATTAAATGTGATTTTCAAAGGGGTTTATTTATTCATACACCTTTTTTGTTGTTGATTTGGGTCAGGTTGCTAATATTTTATAAATATTCAGGACGAATATAGTCTTTACAATAAATCCAATCAGTACTTTCTGTAAAATGGGTCGACAAGATGAGGGCCAGTAATTTAGATAGCAACTGGAAAATGATGGTATGACGAAAAGGGACATACATTTTGTCAATGTCCCTACACGAAGCATCTGATATAACATATATATATGCGTATTCATACATCCCGCACAGCAAAACGGACGACGCCCTCCTCTTCCAGCATAAGTTGTACTGCTTGATGGGAGAAGAAAAAAGTATGTCACTCTTAATTATATATCAAACATATGTAACTGTATATAGCGGTTCTCCTGGGGAAAGTCACGACATCTAACAGCCTTAATTTTAAACCTTATGGTAAATATTCTTGAAAAATAATTTTTTCAATTCAAAATTTCAAACTCTTTCTGCATAGTTGTAACACATGTAGACTGTGTAAATTAGACGGGTGCTTTACTTTCAAAGAACATTTTTTATAGCCCTCTTCTCAGGAGATGATGCTAGATCCGTTCAATTTCCGAAGTGATTCCTTTCCTGTATCGAATTGTCGTTAGACATTTTTGGATGAACCCTCTTTCCTTTTTGAAAACTTTGTTTAAAATCAATGAATTAATCGTACCAAAAATTAACATGTAGTTATTATAGACCGGTTTATCATAGTTAGAGCAAATTTTTGAAGAAAAAAAAAGTTTTAAAAGAAGGGCGATTAAAAATCAAAAATGAACTTAACTACTCCAGAACTGGTTCTTCCTGTCTCATTTATCACACACACACTCGACCATTTTTCTTGTATATCTGAAGCTTCTAGACGCTTCTTAACTTGTAGTCTTTCCATTACACCACTATGAGACAAACTGACATATCCATTTTTGGACGGAGATGTTCCTTTGGCACCATCTTACGTTGTTAATATATCACAACTCGCTCGCTATGCCCGTGTCTGTGGCGACGTTTTGGATTTCAATGAACGTAATCTTTGTATTACTGGTAAATTAGTAAGTCAGGGATATTGTTACAACAAATTTCTTAACACTTTACTAAATTCTTCGATAGATTTAAAGATTTGTTTCGAAAACTTGATTGTACATTACTGTCCTTAAATACAATCCGGGTAAACTTATCGACCCTTTAAATAAAGTTATTCTATTATGTGCCTGTCCCAAGTCAGGATCCAGTGGTTGTCGTTTGTTGCTGTATATCATATTTGTTTTTCATTATTTTGTACATAAATCCAGATGTTAATTTTCTCGTTTGAATTGTTTTACATTTAATTTAGTCATTTCTGGGCCTTTTATAGCTGACTATGTGGTATGGGTTATACATTGTAATCATGGTTGAAGGCCGTACGGTGACCTATAGTTGTTAATTTCTGTGTCAATTGGTCTCTTGTTGAATATTGTCTCATTGGCAAGCATACCACATCTTTCATATCTACTAACGCAGCTTGATAATTAAGTTTTTTTTAAGAATAAAATACTAGTAGCTTTATCATAGTAAATAGTTTTATGGCTGAAATATATATGTGGAAGGAAAAACAGTATATTTCCCAAATGCACCTAGTATGTTTAGTATATATAAAAAAGAAGATGTGATATGATTGCCAATGAGACAACTCTTCACAAGAGACCAAATAACACAGAAATTAACAGCTGTGTTTTTTATACGTTTTTGTCTTTTTTTTTTTTCTCATAATGACTGTCCATAAATTTCTAGTCCGTAACAAAGTAAGGAATAAACAACGTTATCTTCGTTTATTATACCTCAGTTATCATTTTCTATATAGAATAAGTACGCCATATTTTCACTATTTTTCTAATTGCAAGTGTTGAACTATTAGACCGGTAAAGAGTTTCCAACTATTTGCCCTCGATGAAACTATTTGACCGAAAGCGTCCTTATATTTCGCGGAATTTCAAATGCAGCTACGGGATTGGAGGATGTTGAAAATACCGCGAGAGTAACGACGTCGCGTTTTACCTATTGTATCTAGTCAGAGATGACGTCGGTGCAGGACGTAGCCATAGCATTTCAGAATATTTATTAAGTACAGTTTAGTTGGGTTTCTGCTTTTTATATTACGATAGTTGATTTATCCCCGACAATTTTTGTCTGTTGTCTCTTTCGGTATAATAAAACACTTGCTGACTGGATATTCGTGGAATGGTAAGTTTATTGTCCCCTCGGATACAACTACTGCCCTCGGCTACGTCTCATGGGACAATAAGCTTACTATTCCACTCATACCCAGTCAATAAGTTTACAATATAAGATGAGTTTAGTAAAGGGTAAGAAAAATCCATTTTTTTTGCAGGTATATATGTATATATAAACAGCATTAAAAGTACATATGCTGAGTGATCATTACTGACACAAAGTTAATTGAATAAGATAACTTGCATAACTAAAAGCACACAGAATGCATTAAACATATAAAAGAATGAAAAAAAAAACGAAGTAAATTTAATGAATAGTATTGAAAATTAAAATCGCATTGACATGTATATTTTGAACCCACGTGTTTAAACCAAAATATTTACATCGATACGTTCAAATTGCTGCCTGTTTTATGTCGGTCACATTTGTTTTCGTACAATCATATGCATGAAGTTCTCTCAATGAGTCCCGGATGTCCTCATAGCACTGTGGGTTGAGATATATGGGATCATTGTTGACGACAACGTTCATTTCTATATACTCCTGTACATTGTCTAGTGAATAATCCCTCCATGTTACAGAATGGTAAGATACATCATCTATCTCCGCATACTGCGATTGATTAAGAGTTTCCGAAGCGTCATCTTCTTCAGGATATTCAATTTGTCTAAAATTGGAATTTATATTTTTACGGTATTGGTGGAAATATGTAAAATACTAATTATCTATGAAGTGTGTATATCTTAAAGGTAAAAGACCGGTATTAGAACAGCAGGAGATACTTTGAAAAGGGTTTGGGAAAGGGGATCAAGATTTGTTTCAAGAATGAATCCCTTCCCCCTAAAACCTTTAACAATAGGTCATTACAAGATCGTAAAAAAGACCCTTTAAACTAGAATTAATTCTTTAAAATATTTGTAGGTGCAAGATAAGTTACTAGTATTTAGTCGTAATATATATATAAAACAAACTCAAATCATATGCGAACAGGTGAACACTACACTACGAAATGAATTACGCATTATGATCTTTTTGTACTTGGCTTTAATGTCCTCCCATTTGCCAATATCGCACATCCCAGTCACTCCGTAATTCTTGTATCGCGGTCCAGCTACGTCAAAATGTTTGAGGATAATTTATCAGCAACGTTACAATGTGTGATGATACGTTTTCAAGCTTAGTATCACCAGTCATGAAGCTTTTTAAGGGAGATGAAACAACAAATAATAGCACAATACACAGATTATTGATCAAATGATGCACAGCCACTGGTGTTATAACAAAGTTTTGTCTGGTATAAAAATAACAGTTAAAACTAAACCAAGTTGAGATAGATAGAAAATTCACTACAAAACAATTTAACTGATCATCTAAAGTAATTTTCGGATTAGATGGTAACAGTCATATTTTCTGCTGCATGCAAAGTCTTTAACACTTTAGAATAAATCGAAAGATGATTCTTATTTTTTTCATTGCCTTAAAAGTCATGCATAACCACAAGACAAAATAACATACAAAATGTATTCATTTGAACTTCTATTCGTTCTACATAAGGAAGATAAGCGTAAAAGAGAGGCGAAAGATACCAGAGCGACATTCAAACTCATAAGTCGAAAATAAACTGACAACGCCATGGCTAAACAAGAAAATTACCAACAGAAAAACAATAGTACACAAAACACAACATATTCATAGAAAACTAAAGACTAAGAAACACCAAAAACTGGGGGTAATCTCATGTGCTCCGGCAAGGTTAGCAGATCCAGCTCCATATGTGGCACCCGTTGTGTTGCCAGTGTAGTAAGCCTTTTCAAATAAAAATTCACACCGACCATTTGCGATTTAAATGGCAGCAACAATTTGTATATCCTCATGCTACCTGATTAATCAGTAAAATTAAAAATTAAATTAGTCACCTGTTAGCTAAGGTTCTGTTGCTAGGTGTAAGGTCAACTGAAATTAAACAGTATATTTATTATCTTTATATATGGTTTGGTTCCTTGACTACATCGACTAGAGACATACGAAAACTAAGCTGTTGGAAGGAATTAGTTTCATGTTTGTTTTTAAATATTCAAATAAGCTTAGTCTTAGATGCACGACTTTTTATTAGTTTTCATTGGCTTCAAACTAGTTGTCAGTAACTGCGAGTGCTCTCAGATCTGTACTTAGTGTCTTTTTTGTTGTGGGGATGTATAAATACCCTGCAACTTCCGATCTGTGTTTTTGTTATAGGTCTTTCTGCTTTGTATCGATCTGATGAGTTCAGCCCTTTTCAACTATTTTTTATAGTTGGTTCCTTTGTTGTATTGTTACACCACTATCCCAGGTTAGGGGGACAAGCTATTTTAACCCCGCCACCTAATGTATGTTTCTGTCCCAAGTCATGAGCCTGTAATTTAGTGGCTGTTGTTTGTTGCTGTAAATCAGAATTGTTTTTCGTTTATTGTTTTGTTCTTAAATTAGGCCGTTAGTTTTCTCATTAGAATTGTTTTACATTTGTCATTTCGGGGTCTTTTATATCTGACTATGCCTTATGGGTTTGTCTCATTGTCGAAGGTGCATAAGAAAACTGTCATGTGATGTTACTTTTCAATCTCCGCCTTGATACGACCGTTATCTCTGTACTCTTACGTGTAATATTTTAAGTTCTTGCGATTTTGTTTTTATTTTTGATGTTACATCCAGCAAGAAATAGAAATTATATTAATTATATGAAGGTCTGGATGGGGTTTACAGAACAGAGATTCAAAATATAGGGAAAAAATAGAGAATATAGAAAAATAAAAAAAAAGACATTAGAGAATACTTGGCTGCTAGAAAATAAAGGACAGAGAATAAAAAAACCAATTGAGAAATGAAGGAACCCCCCTTTCCAGACCCTCGTATATTTCACTCTCTGAGGACGTGAAGTTAAGTCCCTTGAACTTGCACTTAAAGAAAGAAAAAAAAACAAGGTGGCCAAAATATTAATATTGCCGAAGTGCCCTTTCGTTGGCATTGATAAATATATAAAAGAAAGTTGATTGTTGATTAGCGAAAATAAAACCTACCTGACAATTTCCGTTTACCATATTTCCTGACTATTGCAACGACAATAATAATGGTAGTTAAAACACCAGCACACATAACTGCCAAATAAATAAATATTGATTTGTTCATGGATACACCAGCTGAAAAAAAGACGGAAACAAAAAATTCGGAACTTTTAATAAACAAAATTAATTGACTACTTTTCTTTTGTTTCTTCGTTGTAGAAAACCTAATTTCGAAATGACGGGGTCCGTTGAAAGACCAAATTTCTGTCCCTATCCAATAAACTCTCATTTTATAGTGTCAGCCGAAATTTCCTCTACCTTATCCCGGCTTTAATTACAAGACCTACCTTTTGTATTTATTGTTAATTTGTTCTCGTCCTGAACATGCATGAAATATTTGCAACTGGACGTAAAGCAATCAATAATCAATCAATCAATCAATCAATCAATCAATCAAAATGACGCAACACATATTTATAGAATGATTTCCCTCATAACAATACAATAAAAAAGCATGTTAAAATTGAATGCTTATCATAAGTTAGTGTATAATCGGTTGTCTTTAAGAGTGGAGTGTTAGCAAGTAAAATTATGTTCTTTTTCTGAAAATTTACTGTTTATAAAATGTTAAATATATTCCAATCACCATGGTTTTTTTTTACCCCCTGGTAAAGATTCAATTTACCTAAGCCGTATAACAATTAGAAAAAGTCATTAATTATTGTTCACTCTCAGGAACCTAAAGTTAGCTCAAAGTTACTGAATGTAAGCTCAAAGTACCCAGAAATCACACCTATCCACACTCTTTTTCCAAAAGACTACATGAAGTCAATATTTCCAAATTAAATTTTCAATATGATACAATGTATATGATGTATATGTGTATCTGAGTTTTTTATGACTGTAGTTGCACACTCTAATTTTTTGATATGTGGAATTTTGTACAAGTCTTAATTTGATTTTAAAGCTATACAGCATTTTTCAAGAGTCTTGCCAAACGATTTGAAAATGTCATAAGATTTTATTATTATTACATAATTTTATATACCTTGTTCATTATCAAGTTCGTTCAAATCTGAAGAAACTGTTATATCATCACGTATCGATTCTAATTCAGTTGGATTTACGTATTTTATATTACTTATTAAATTTTCTTTATCATTTATAGATATGGTTAACATGTTTGCTTCAAATAATGGTTCTCTGCTTCCTATGAAGTTTTTTAAATGACAGCTGATAGTATCCATATGCGAAACTACGGCTCGGCTGAATGACAGCTTACTCTGGTGGACATTCCTGGTTATTGGTGTTTTGTGGTAGTTCACAGGAACATTTACTTTGATGTTTTGTATAAATATGTCGCTATGGTTACTAGAATTGCTTTCATTTACGTTCTCGTCGTTAATATACCATATAACATACATCAATGGTGGTTCCGAAATATAAGTGACAGACAGTGTAACATTTGATGAATCTGCAATCACGTCTTGTTTGATTATTACAGGTGCTCCTGCAAGTAAAGAACCAAATAAAACCACATGGACTGCATATACTATAGACTGTAGTTTTCATTATAGTTTAGAAGTAACTTTTATCTGTATTAAAAAAAAATATCATCAGTGCATTAATAAACCGATATGTATAAGGCCATTATTTCAACATATTGTATTAAAACAGAGTACACATTAAAATATTTTCAACATGTTACTGTTTATTACATGCCGGTTGCATGATCTGCGTATCATTCCGGTGCCCCTTAGACCACCTCTCAGTCTTTAGTTGTCAGCGTAGTGTTTTGCCTTCCGAAGCCCCCGAGACCACCCCTTAGTCTTAAGTTGCCATTGGTGTGTTTTGCATTCCGGAGTCCCTGAGACCACCCCTCAGTCTTTAGTTGCCAGTGGTGTGTTTTGCCTTCCGGAGTCCCTGAGACCACCCCTCAGTCTTTAGTTGTCAGTGGTGTGTTTTGCATTCCGGAGTCCCTGAGACCATCCCTAAGTCTTTAGTTGCCGGTGGTGGGTTTTGCCTTCCGGAGTCCCTGAGACCACCCCTCAGTCTTTAGTTGTCAGTGGTGTGTTTTGCTTTCCGGAGTCCCTGAGACCACCACTAAGTCTTTAGTTGCCAGTGGGTTGTTTTGCATTCCGGAGTCCCTGTGACCAACCCTCAGTCTTAAGTTGCCAGTGGTGTGTTTTGCCTTCCGGAGTCCCTGAGACCACCCCTCAGTCTTTAGTTGCCAGTGGTCTGTTTTGTCTTCCGGAGCCCCTGAGACCCCCCTCCCCAGTTTTAAGTTGACAATTGTGTGTTTTGCCTTCCGGAGTCCCTGAGACCACCCTCAATCTTTAGTTGTCAGTGGTGTGTTTTGCCTTCCGGAGTCCCTGAGACCACCCCTCAGTCTTTAGTTGAGTGTTTTGCCTTCCGGAGCCCCTGAGACCACCCCTCAGTCTTTAGTTGCCAGTGGTGTGTTTTGCGTTCCGAATCCCATGAGACCACCCTCAGTCTTTAGTTGCCAGTGATGTGATTTGCCTTCCGGAGTCCCAGAGACCACCCCTTAGTCTATAGTTGCCAGTGGTGTGTTTTGCCTTCCGGAGTCCCTATGACCCCCTCAGTCTTTACTTGCCAGTGGTGTGTTTTGCCTTCCGGGACCCCTGAGACCCCCCCCCCCCCCCCCCCCCCCCCCTCAGTCCTTAGTTGCCAGTTGTGTGTTTGACTTCCGGAGTCCCTGAGACCACCCCTCAGTCTTAAGTTGTCAGTGTAGTGTTTTGCGTTCTGAAGCCCCTGAGACCACCCTCAGTCTTTTTGTTTTTTGCAATGGCGCTGTCAGTTTGTCTTTGACTTATGATTTTGAATTATCCTTTGAATCTTCCGCATCTCTTTTACGATTTGTCGATTTATGACTATTGAACAGCGGTATACTACTCAGTGTTGCCTTTATTTACGTTTCTATTTTCCGAATTCTAAAATTTAATTCCGACATATTATAAGTTAAAACAGGATTTATCCCAGGATCTGTAATGATGGGCGGAACCAACTTATCATAACGTTAGATGACTTCAGTTTTCCAACAGGGGCATTTCTTTCAAAACTACATTTAACAAGCACGTGCGAATGGAATTTTTAATCTCGGTTGTACGTAAGAAGCTAGTGTATCTTATCTTACCTTGAACTATGACGTAAGCGGTTGACGTCATATTTCTACCGTTGCATGTTACCGTGCAAGTATAATAACCAACATCTTGATAACTACAGTACGTTATAGAAAGAACTGAAAGGTTTTTATAATCTTCTCCATTCAGTCTACGAATGCGCACACCATTTAAGTAATGGTTCCAAAGGAATGTTGGAAAAGAGCTTTCGACATTTTTGATTTTACACCTTAATTTGACTGTCTGTGTGGTATTACATACAACATGTTTTGGTTGCACATCAACTAGGTTTTCTGAAATGGATATAAAATTTACATTCACATATATATATATATATATAATTCGTCTAAACAACAGCCCAACAATGTTAGATCTGTAAATTTGCGGAAGCAAATTTTTTGTTCTTCCCTGGCCGGGATTCGAACTCATGCTACTGAGATATCGTGGCACCAAATCGCCTTGCACTATGCCCGACATATATATATATATATTCTAGCCATAAGTTCCTGTTCCTGTCCAAATATGAAAATAAGGAGATGTGGAGTGATTGCCAATGAAGCAACTACCTAACAGAGACTTAAGGATGAGGATATACAATATAAAAATAAGGCTAGGAATGATTGCTAATGAGACAAAAATGCCGGTATCTAACAAAGACCAAAGGATGAGGATGTACAATATAAAGATAGGGAGACGAGGAATGATTGCCAATGATAATACAGATGACATAAGGCATAAACGTGCCAATTGGTTTCTGGTAAGTTTAAAAGGTGCAACAGACATAAAGTAAAAACAATTTCAATTGGAAGAAAAAAACACTGACACACAGTCATTTACAAAGGCTGGGTAAATAAGACTAAAAGTATCGAAGAAACTCTATATCAGATCATGGTGTATTGAAGCAGTATTCAAATAGGACGCTACACGTGGTCAAAATCGTGTAATTGTTTGCAAGCATTACGGATGGATCGAGACAGATGAAACGTATGCATGGTTCATTTATAATAATCTATTATAAACATTAAAAAAAATGTTTTGACCATTGACAATGCTAACAAAATCTATTTGTTTTCATTTTCTTAATCATGACATGTAATGTGTAATTATGCTTATTTATTACCTTGAACAAATCTAATGCATATGTCTATACTGCCCTCTGAATTTCTAATTACAGCTCGATATAAGCCAAATTGGTCACGTGCTGTTAAAAACACAGACGATGTTAAACGATGGATTGAGGTTGTGTTTGACCAGGTCGAAATTTTCCAGTTCCCAAGTGTTCCACCATTTCCGGTACCCCATGATACAGTTGGAGCGGGATAGCTGTTCACATCTAGCGAAATATTGGTTACATTTCCAACAACTGAGTGTAGTGTAATATTTCTGTCATTTTTATAAAATATTGGCTTAACTGAAATATAAACAATTAGACCATTGAAACTTAAGGTTTTGATAATTTTACACATGCATACATGTAAAGTAGGTGATCATAATTTTGAATTGACTCCTCTTCATGAACTATTTTAAAACAACTTCGTGGGAAAATCGGTTTCCTTTTTTAAAGTATGTCATCAAAATTGTTTAGGACGTAGTTTTTAGGTCAAATTCTGTTCATTCATGATTTCCATGAAAACATGTTGCTAAAACATTTCATTTTAATATACTTTTCACTGTTACGGAAGTAGTTGGTATGTTTGTCATTATATATAAAAAGTTGGGTTTTTTTTCGGGCAACCAATGGAAACATTAACAGGAAGCCTTCCAGTGTAACCTATTTCTTCTATCAAGTAATTTTAACTGTAGTCTTATTCAATTTGCTAGTACCTATCTCCGCCCTTCAATGTCAACAGTAATGCAGTATTTGTATTGACTTTTACTTTGATAACTTTTTCAGAAGTTAATATTTAAAATTACTTGCATATTAATCTAATGTTGAAGTCGTACCAAACTGGAATGCCCTTATCGTCAGTAGAGCACCGATAAGTCCTCACCTCATCTTTTCTAAAGTCGTTTATTAAGAGGTTTCTATCATTATCGAGAGACATTTTCTGAGAAATATTCAATTCCTGATTGATTCCATCGTTAAGAGTATAGATATCGTTAGTTTGTGCATCCGACCAAGTGTACACCGGTTTAGTTGGACACTTAAGGACTGCCGTAGCACCTTCCGTAACGTTTAGGTATATATTCTCCATACCCTCAATTTTACGTACTGAAACAAAATATATGGTTATTTATTTTATATATAAGTTCTTGTACTTTCTTTCATCAAAATTATATTCAACAGTTTTAAATCAAAGTGCAATGTATCGAAAATCTAGAATTTGAATTCCTTTTGTGGCTCAGTCGTGAATTGGGAAGGCACAGAACCAACTGCAGCAGGAACGTATTACCTTTCTGAAGCATCTCATTCTTCTGATTTTTGGTTGGTTTCATGCTTCTCAATATTTAGTTATCTGTGTAGTGTTTTGTGATTGTTGTCTGTTCGAATTTTTTTTTCTTTTGTCCTTGTTGTTTGTTTTTCTTCCAAGTATGCTTTTTTATTTCGCCATTGGTATCGTATCCCCAGTTTAAATACAATTTAGAAGACAGATATGTATAAATACATAAGGAGGTACATAATCAACAAATTTGTTTATTTATTTTTTCCGCTATTTTCACATTTGATTTTTATATCATGTTCAAATTGATGTCTATTGTAGATATGTATCTTTTCATTTTAGCCCAAAGGTCAAATATATGAATACAAATCTGTCACTTGTTGTTTCCTCAATAAGTTTAAATACGTTACCTATCACCAATAAAACAATAACTAGTGAAGTCTTCATTTCCGCTTCCGCCTATATGTGATTTCCTGGATAATTGAAATGTTGATATTATTGTAAAAGTGAAGGATGCGTCCTAGGTTTAATTTGTTCGCATAGCTTGTTGAAAATTTTTTTCTATCATCATAGTACTACATTGTAGACAGTCAATTTCATACTGCACTGTATCCTACAGTATATGTATATGAATTGGAAATTAAAAAAAATATATCAAAATTAAGCTAACTGAATCAAAATGTTAATAGTTATATTATATGCATGTGACTATATACAAAAGAAGATGTGGTATGATTGCCAATGAGACTCTTCTTCCCAAGAGACCAAATGACACAGAAATTAACAACTATTTGTCACCGTACGGCCTTCAACAATGAGCAAAGCATAGTCAGCTATAAAAGGCCCCTAAATGACAAATGTAAAACAATTCAAACGAGAAAACTAACGGCCTATGCCTGTGCCAAGTAAATATCCTCATCAGTGTTTACATTCTGTTTCATATTAACGTTTTTGCTATTTCGAGACTTTAATTTAGTTCTCGATTTTTTTATTGTTTAATTTCTTCACATTTTAAACCCTTTCGGAGCCGTGACCTAAGTTTACCTCTAAAAGAAATAGAGGAAATGTCCCTTGATTTGTTTCACATATATATACTGGGACAAAATGAGTAAGCAAGGTTTAAATACCTACTGGAACATATTTATTTAGTCGGGTTCGTGCTGCTCAGTCTTTACTTTTCTATGTTGTGTTTTGTAGACTGTCGTTTGTCTTTCCGTCGGTGTTGTTTTGCCATTCTGTTGTCAGTTTGACTTCGACTTATGAGTTTGGATGTTCCTTTTGGTATCTTCCGCCTCTCCTTTATAGATTCGTGAAGATTTTTAAAAGTTTGATATATTGTATGGACACCTGTCTATTGTTGGAGACTGTTTGCTGCACGATAAATATCTTTTGGTCATTTTTGTCGTTTTGTTGCTGTCTCGTCTACGTTTTCATCTCATCTCTTTTATTCGTACAACTTACCAGAAACAAGTGTCACTGAATGTCTTTAGAAGTTGTTCTTCTCCTACCCGTAGATTTATTGTGGGTTGAAGTACAGAAATAGAAGATAGGAGACAGCAACCGAACGACACAAATAACCAAAAGTGGGGTGTACGTAAACGACAGCAGGGGATTAAACTTTTCAATCCCCACATTTTACTATCCTCTGTTAATAAACTAACAAAATATACACTAAAAACCATTCAATAAATAAGGAAAAGCAATTCAAGCTAATACAACGGTATATTTCATATAACAGAATCAAAAATAAAAACAAAACAATCATAAACATGATAAACAAATTGTATCTGAACTGCATAGCTTGTTGATATGAAATCATTCCGTCCCTATTCTAGTATCGGTGGCTGTACCTCACAGTAGTTTTCTTACAGTAAAGTTTAACCCCGTACAGTAAGACACAACCTTGTGCAATTCCCCGAAAATGTCTACAAATAATTTCGATGAAGAATAGCAAATGGAACATTTTAGTTTTGATTCAAACTATAAATTATGGAATTTCAAAAATGTTCCGCTCATTGATATTGATACTGTACGTTCTTCAAAGTCCAACAACTTGTGGAATAGAAATATAGCCATCATTTGACTTTTCACGTCCAACAGAAAAAAAGTTGCTAAGATGGTGTGGGGCGTTCATTTGGTCCTACAGGATATTTAAATACGTAGTCACGTCCAGTCGGAGTCGGGGACGTTAATCCAAGCTCCGTGCAGAGTGAGTGTCACGCTCTTTCTCCACGTACGAAACTCCTTGCAGCAACAATTCAATCTAGTTGAATGAAAACTATAATGCATAGTTTTCATCAATCTCCAACAGCATGTAAAAGATTTTGAACATATTCGGTCGTTTATCCTAGGCCTTTTGAAAAATAAGACAAGGCGCTATGCGCTTTTAAAATTGTGAGAATACACTTTTGAAAATCTATTTAAAAAATTAAGTGAATATATATATATAGGTGGTCAAGTGGTCTAGCGCGCCGGGCATAGTGCCAGGCGATTTGGTGCCACGATATCTCAGTAGCATGAGTTCGAATCCCGGCCAGGGAAGAACAAAAAATTGCGAAAGATCTAACATTATTTGGCTGTTATTTAGACGAATTATATATATATATATATATATATATATATATATATATATATATACATGTATGCTTGAAAACCATCAAATTATTTATTAATCACAAACCATGATACTTACGTTACTCATAAGCATGTCTAAATGGGATGGAATCTTAGTGAAAATATCGATAATCCCGATATGTCCTGATATTCAAAAGAATTGTAATAAATATTTGCACTTTGCGGTCTTTGCAAGTACGTATACAAGGAAAGAAGAGACCAAAATCATTCTTACCGTTTTGAAATGAATAAATTTAAGCATCGATTAAGGCTGAATGGAATAAATGAA